GATAATCTTGAAATTTCCATGCAAAATATCATTTTCATTCATGCTATTTCTTTGTTCAACAATAAAAGTAAATAGCATGACCATGGCAAATCTGTGCAGCATAACCATTAGGATGTGTATCAGTGCACAATAATGATTTAAAAAAGTATTTTCTAGGGCATAAACTGTCTCAGAGGCTAATGTGAGAAGGCTAAGACTTAATTTATAACTCTTTTAAGATTTATGGCATGGGGAGAGACAGTGTGCTTTACTGTGGTGCTGCAGATAGTGGGAGAGAGAGAGAGAATGACTACTAGTTGCTTCGCAGACCAGTTGCAGCAATCAGGGCTCTAGTTCACCCCACCTGCCTGTTTTTCTGACTTCCCCTCAGAAAGAGAGGCCCTGGGATACAGATCGACTGTGCCAAGGAAAATGCACTGCCCAGACCCCGCCTGAGGGAGTATGATTGATGGAGAGCCTGGGATTCTCCAGAACAGTAACAGGATCCTTAATGGGCTACTTGTGCTCAGTGTCACTCCATCACCATGACTGAAATGTCTTAGAACTGGGCTGCAAAGACTCTCCTTACCCAATCTTCTTCTCCTTCTTTTCTCCTTCTCCTTCTCCTTCTTTATCAGATCTGCATCCAGATCATAAGATTTGCTTCACCCTGTATATCTTTTTTTTTATCATTCACACACTTTTCATTCCACAATAAATATCTTGCACGTAATCAGTATTGCAAAAATCATCTGCTTTTGTCTGCTTTTCAGAGGACTTAAACTTAAGAGTTTTAGCAAAATGCTGCTGATGATTTGAGATTGGATGTAGTAATTGTGGGAGTTTGATTGGACATTTGTTGAATAGCTGCAGAAAGTGAATGGAAATAGAAATAGACATAAAAATTTGGGAATTGACCAACTCTCAGTAATATTTAAGTCATGAAATCAAGTTATTTTATCAAGGGAGCTGTATAAATAAAGAGCAGAAAGAACAGCAGACTACACCCTGATTGACTGCCTCAACCAGAAAAGCAGTGAAATAGAGGCAAAATTAAGAATGCGAAGAGTGGAAGTCAAGTCAAGGGAGGGAGTGTTTTAAGGAAGGATCTGCAATTAACCTTGTAAAATATTGTTGGTGGACTGAGCAGTATGAATTCTGAACACTTAGTATTGGATTTAACAATCATGGGGCCATTGCTGACAATAAGAACAACAGGTTTATAGGATATTTAGAGATGGGATAATGACTTGAGTAGATTTTTAAAGAAAGAATTGGAAAGAAACAGTGAATATAGAAATGGAGAGATGAGTAGAGAGAATGCTGTCAGGTTTTGCCAAGGAGGAGAGCAGGTCTTTTGGTGTTTTCTAGAGAATGACATAGACTCAGAGTTTCCTTGCTTGGTTTTTTTTTTTCTTCATTATTTTAAGATGGAAAAATTATTCATGTTTGTATATTGACAGAAATTTCCAATAGAGAGCAGGGAAGAGAAGGTAGGGTAGGGGAGAGGAGAGACTTCCTGAAACATTGTCCCAGAGATGGAGAAAAGAGTGGGTTGGAAAGTTCAACCTGTGTAGTGAAGAAAGGGAGAGTGAAGAGGCACAGATGGAGGTAGGTGGATAGATGTGGGTGCTGTTTCCTGCAGAAAATCTCTTCTATCATTTAATTTTCCAAGTGAAAGAGGAATCAAATTGAGCTGTTTGAGGTCTTCATTTATTTTGAAAGTGAATGGACTCAGGAATTTCGGTGTGATTGCCTGGCAGCCTGAAGAACCCAAATGGGCTTGGAGACATGGATGTAAAATGAAGCAATTAGTAGCCATTGTGTGTTTTTTCTGTTGCCATTACTGGCTGTAGAGGAGCAGGCACAAGTGGGCTCTGGATTGGGTTTAATTAGGGTTAGGGTATTGCCAATTGATTACCAGAAAGGAAGAGAAAGTCAAGTGGAGAAAAGGGAGAGCGGGAAATAGATTATAATATAAGGAAGTGAGGTCATGAGAATGGTGAGCATCCAGGTCATTCTAGCACTCCTAAAGATGTAGCATGGAAGCATTCCACAGTGGGACTTAGGAGCGAAGCTCTCCCTGTGGGATATTTTTCACTTCTACGTCTGCCAGGCTTGGGGAGATGTTTAGGGATGGTGGTGCTTTGGGAAGGAAAATCATCAAGGTAAGTATGGAAACACATTATTGTTCAGCCAGCCAATTTTCAGTTCTTGGTCCCAAACTGAAGGATTAGTTAGACAGATATTAATGACTAATTTTTCAGCAGAAGCTTTGCATGTTAAAATTTATCAGTATAGGGCCGGGGATTTAGCTCAGTGGTTTTGCCGCCTGCCTTGCAAGCACAAGGACCCGAGTTCGATCCCCGGTACCAAAAAAAACAAAACAACAACAAACAAAGCAAAAAAAAAAAAAAAATTGATCAGTATAAATATTTGTCAAAATAGTAAGCTTACCAAATCAAACACTTGGCTTAGATAACTTGGGCAAGCATACATATTTTCTTCATGAGCTGGTCAAAAGATTCTAATGAGACTAAGAATTCCACATTGAAACACAGAGCTGATATTTCTACCTCAGTGAACTCTTTTGTGAATTATCCATTATGTTTAATATTACTTTTCATTGAAATGGTAAGTGCAACAATTTTGCATGTGTATGTGTATTCCATATATGAGGGAAAATAGAATATGAATGTGATGACCTTCCTGTTAGAGTCTTTGGTAATTTCTTAAAATTGCTCTTCTGAGGTACTCAAGATTGTTTCTGTGAATTCAAAAGTTTTTATTTTTATTTTTTTTCAGAAGTTTTGTTGTTGTTTTGTTTTGTTTGGTTTTTTGGTTCTGGGGATCGAACTCAGATCCTTGTGCTTGCGTGGCAGGCGGCAGAACCACTGAGCTAAATACCCGGCCCTTTTTCAAAAGTTTTTAAATTAGTGTTCTCTAAATAACTTAGAGAAAGACAGTAATTCCATTATTTTATATTTTTAAATAAATGAAGTAGTATTTTCTCAGAATAATTCTTAGATTTTGCAACCTGATGCTGAACCTCAAGCTTCTAGAAAAAGAAGAGCAGGACAAACCCAAAGCTCATACAAGGGAGGAAATTATAAAGATCAGAGGAGAAATGAATTCAACGGAGACTAAGAGGACGATACAAAAAAATTAATGAAGCCAAGAGTTGGTTCTTCGAAAGAATAAATAAAATTGACAAACCCTTAGCCATCCTTATCAGAAAAAGGAAAGAAAAGGCCCAAATCCATGCAATTAGGAATGAAAAGGATGAAATTACAACAGACACAGCAGAAATCCAGAGGATCATCAATACCTACATCGAGAACCTATACGCCAATAAGATAGAAAACACAGAATGTTCAATGTTTTTTAAATGATGGCAAATAAAATTGGTAAAGTTCCTGTCTTGATTTGTTATGTAAATTAAATTAAATTAAAATTGATTTGCTTATATATACACTCACTGAGCAAGCACGCAGATATTTCACATAACAGGAAAGTTGACAAAGTTGACAATGGTATTTTGGAAGTTTGGAAGTTTTTTGAAATGTTTTCATCTTGACAAATTTTATAAACCTAACAAACCACATTTGTGTAGATCCTCTGTAACAGGGCAAAAAATAAATGACTATGTATATATACATAGTCATTTAAATTTTTCCAACTATTGTTCTAACTACAGCATTTTTCTTGTGCAATAGCTAAGTTGTTACAATGATTTTCTAAAAGCACCATTCTACCTCTAAGAATAAACTGATGTTTATCTTAAGGCATCATAAAAGTCACCATGCACAAGAAGCTGGCTTGCCTGCCTATAAAATAAATCCCTATGCATGGATTTGGTGGGAAGAATAAAATCAATAATGTGGGTGTAGGAGTTTCACTTTCCAAGTCAGGTAGACTGACGTTCAGTCCTGATTCTCCCACCAGTAGGCTGTGTGTATTTAGGCAAATTTATAGATTTTAATATTTCAGGTTTGGCAGCTCCCAATATCCTTGGATAGAATATTAAACACAAAAGAACAGGACTTATTCTTGTTTAACAAAGAATCTCCACTGCCCACCACTTAGAAGGATACTCAATAAATACTTTTGAACTATCAAATATATAAAATATATAGAGGAGTATAAGAGTAATAATATATAAAACTGAGATATTTTCAGGATAAGGTGACATAGTTCTTGATGGGTAGAGGATGGTACTGACGCAGAGTAACTACCCTTATTAGGGAAACCTCCAGAGAAGCCGCAATAAGTTTGTCTTCTGTGTCTAATTTCTATTTCCCCTTCAGAGAGTGAATGGGTTTTGTACTAGGACTGGTGGCACTATGCCATAATCCAGCACTCATGCTATAAGAGGAAAACTGTTAATACCCATATTTTCTAACATTTAAAAGTGCAAGCAATTCAAGTAGATTAAAGTACTTTCAAATATAATCTAAAACTCATGCCACCAATGGAAAAGTCTTCAGAGCTTAAGCATGCATACCAGTAAAAAGAAGGTAGTACATACGATATTTCATTTTGGTTAAAGATGTATATTACATTTGACATGTTCAAAATCTGGTTGCATTCTACAATTCACAGCATCCTACAATGAATTGGCATTTTCCTTTTTGATATTTCATAATATAGAGGGTATCTTAAATATAGTTGATGAAAATATGTTAAAGCTATATATTGAGGCAACATTTTCCAAGATTTATCAATGCCCATCCTCAGCAAGTAACCTTCTAGGCATTTTTTTCATAAAATTCGTCTCCATGAAATTTTAATGTAACAGATATTTATTTCTATATTGAATTTATATCTGTGTCTTATTTGGAAGAAGAAAAATTTTACCCCAAAAACTATTTTTTCCTTTTAGGGATTGGACTGCATGTACTGATGAAGTAAATATTAAAGTGATTAAAGTGAGTAAACAAAGAGATACATTTCTTGTTATTCTTCTTACTTTAGAAAATCTCCTCTACTGAAATACTTGGAATCATGAGCTCACTCTTAGCTTTAGAGGTTTTGGCTTTAATTATGTAACAGAATGTCTAGGAATTTTATTATTATCATGAATGTCAAAATGTTGTCAAAATGCCTGCAAAGTTTGAACATTTGTTATTTACCCCAACAACCAGAAATCTATCCATAATATTTTTGGTAACAAATTAAAGATCTGCAAGTTCATCCAATGATGTCATTCAACATATTTTCCTTTTATGAAATAAGACTAATAATTCAGCTCATAAATTTAGGATGTTCACAACTTCACTTTTACATATTCATAATTTTAAAGACATGAATTAAATAAAATATCTATAATGAGATGTCTTAAAAATTAATCTGATTTTCATGAAGAACCGAGAAATAAACTGCTTTATACTTCACGTATCACACTCAGTTGTGAGAATGAAGTGTGCAGTTCTGGAGTCTGTGCAAACTCATCTACTGCAGGCTAAGCAGGTTTGGGACTCCCATCTGCAGCAGGAAGGATGGGAGGCCACTTGTGAGCAGTGATTTGCACCAGGTGGAAGATGGGGACACAATCTGTAACCTCTAGGGTGGGTTTTATTTTCACAAAGCTAATTGTTACACTCAACAACTGGAACTGATGGAGAAAGGAGTAGTTTACTCAGAGAATATCTTTAAATAGCAAAGATGTTCAGAGTGTTCTTAAATGTTTACTTATCATATCTCTGGACTAGCAGTTTAACTTCCATTTAAAAAATTAGTGGTGCAAAAATCTTTCTAAAAGTATACAACTTTTAACTATACTGCATGTATTGTAATAATGTTATTTCATATTTGACAATTCAGACAGGTGTAAATTGTCCTGATTGTTTTTGCTGATGCTAATTGAGTATTTTTGAGACAGCTGTGTCAAAAGTAATGTGTAATTGCTACGGGAGGTGTGAAATATTCTATTAGACCAAATAATGTATCATCAAATACGAAGTGGGTAGAACCCAGAGGATTCTTCATCGGCAATGCAAGCATTCATAGCAAGGCTTTATCAGTTGAGTTAGTTGTACACAGCTTTTGGAAATAAATTGAAAACCAATTTAAAACCAGAAATCGTCTCCCCCGCTGCTCCTTGTACTTGCTCTTTCTCTGCCTTTTAAACGAAGCATCTCCATGATGCTCCGGGCATAGACATCTCTCAGGTTAACGCTGATATATGAGTCAGTGGCTATATTCTTGGTAAGCTTCTTCAGAGCTTCCCGCTGTCTAGCAGCTGCTTCCTTGAGTTTCAAGGTGAAGTAGCAGGCAGAGAAGCGATCGTTAATAATAGCAATAGGCAAGGCCAAGACAAGGATTCCTGATAATATGCACATGAAGGCCACGATTTTCCCTGTGGTGGTGTCTGGTCTAATGTCCCCGTACCCCACAGTGGTCATGGATGTGGTGGCCCACCACCATGCACAAGGAACACTTGTGAAGGTCGTGTCAGGAATGCTTTGTTCTGCAAAATATTCAACAGTTGAAAATATAGAAATTCCCACAGACAGAAATAGGAGCAGTAGGCCGACTTCTTCATAGCACTGGGTGATCGTCATGCCAAGGGAGCGTAACCCTGCAAGAGAGCACCTGGCATCAGTCACCATCGTCCTGATACCTTCCTCTCTCCCGGCCCTCCCCGCCCTAGCTGTCCACCCACAAACATGCACTGCACACTTAAATGTCTCGACACTGGGGAGTGTTCTGGAGATAGAAAGATGGTTAAGTCAGAATCCCTGCCTTCAGGAAGCAGATATCTAGTTGATAGGGATAGAGAGGATAGAGAAAAACATAACTCACTCATGCAACTTTTGAACTTGCTTGATTCATATTTTTAAAAGGTGAGAAATAAGACTATCAGGCAGGCAGAGGGTGTATACTAGGAGTTTTGTACTTTCAGCAGAATATCTTTGTAGTGCTGCAGATAGAGGTCTCAGCTGGTTAAACCTGAATTTCAAAGCATCGTTTCAGCACTTCTTTCTAGTGATAGTTTTATTTTGTCTTCTTATATTTTATGGACCTGCTTTTTTCATCTTCCTGATAAGGTTTAATGTAATCAGCTGCCTCGTTTCCCAAAAGCTAGAGGAAGTGAAGAGTGTGTACCATGGCAATGAAGTAAAGCAGCCAAATCAAGTTAGGCACTGGGGACAAAACTGATATCAAATGTATTGTGGGGGACATTTTAATCAGGTATCCGGAGAAGATCCCTGACACCGCAGGACCACCAACTGAAGTCCTAGTTCTTAATGCCAAAGCTACAGGGAGTTTTCTTCCTGTGCCCCTGTAAGAATATACAGCTGAATACAGAATATTCCCCCATTGCAAAAGAACAAGGGAATGGAACCACTAGGGAATTCACTCTAGATCTGATGATTTACTGAGCCTTGGTGACAGACCCAAGAGGGTCCAGTCCTACCTGTGAAGAGGCTAATCCCTCAGGGGGAAGAGCCCATTAGAAACTAAACTAGGGTTTGAATTAACCATTAGTTGCTAAAAGCTTATCCACATTTTGAAATGATATCAACATGGCATCACAGGGACATTGCTTCAGGAGTTCAAAGCAAAACTCCTTGGAATCATTTCTCAATTTTCATTCATTGGCTAGCGATGATTTGAAATGCATTCATGTTGTCCTTAGTTTGAATTTTGCTCTTCAAATTTTTAGATCTTGGATATATAATGAGTTGCTTTTAAAGATCAATAAATATTCATTTTGAGGATTAACTTCAAAAGAATCTCTTTCAGAATACCTTTACAATACCTATTTATTAAACTAGCCTTAATGTGTCTTATAGAATGAAATTTATGAAATAAGTTCATAATATATGAGAAGTGTAGTGTTTATTTAAGAAAACTTTTTTTTTAAAAGATGAAATGTTCTAAACATTTTTGTAAAGAAACAGAAAAGGGGGCTATATGTCTAGCCTATTACATCTATGAATTCAGACAAACCTCAAAAATCAAGACAGATGTCATTGTTGTATCATTTTACAAATGAGGAGGTCAGGCATAGAGAATTAGCTTATCTAGTCCCAAGCTGCAAAGCTAGAATTTGAATCCAGCCTGTCTGACCTCCTACCTATTATCGTATAGTACCTCTCGATTTTTACTCACAATTAATGTGTGAGGACGTATGTTGTCTATGTCTACATTTTACTGTATATTATGCTTGAGGTAAAAATGATCGAGCATAAGATTGTTATATATTTTCATGAAATTAAGGCTTTTGTAATCCTTTATACTCATTTGGAAATAAGAAAACTTTGAAGAGGTAACATAGAAGAAATTACTGTTATTTTCCTTTTCCTTTCATGTGGGAAAAATGTAGTCTTTGCTGGGTGCTTTCAAAATTGAATCTTGTGAAGAGTTTATAAATACTTAAAGAAAGCATCCCATTATGTGTGTCAGAAAACAAAGAGTGCTACTTATAAAAGTTGTTGGAAACCCCATTATCAAATCCCTGGCATGTGAGACTAGCTAGAAAAATACACTACCAAAAGTATATTAGGATAAGTTCTAATTACCACAGAGATGCAGAAAAAAAACCCCAGAAGAAGTTAATTTCTCCCGAAATTAACAGGGAGACACAGCTACCATCATCCTCTTCAGGTGGCTAGTCAGGGACATCTCTAAGGAAATAAGGCTGGAAGAGGTACCAGTATGCATTTGTATGAACATGTGTTGTATTGATAGGGCATCCTGCTTCTGAGTTTCTCAAAGTGTGGTCCAAGAATTGCTTTTATCAAAAGTAATTGCAATAAAAAATGCTCCCGGATTCAACCTCAATACTAAAATCCAACTCTCTGTGTGTTGGGACTCAGAATCTGCATTTCAACAAGTTTGTCAGGGCATCCCGATTTTTCTTAAAGCCTGACATAAGATAATTCATATGTTATGCCAGAATATTCAGCAGCTGCAGGGACAGCCACCGAGAATCACCACCTCAGGGACGCATCTTTAATTCACCTGTGTGATTTCCATGGACAATGACTATAACCTTTATGTACAGTTATGTGTGTGTGTGTTTTGTGCTGAGGGGATGTTTATCTATGGAATGGTCATTTGATTATTGAAGTCTCTTTAACACATAAAAAAACTAAGAAATTCCCATTTCCCTCCCAAATCTCATACATCACAGGTCAGGAAAAAGAAAATTCTCAAATATTGGGTAAAGTATTATTAATTAGTGTCTTCTCATTCTTACAAAGCAAGATATTTCCACTGCTTCTTCAACAGTTGTGGGAAGGCCATTAGCACTTGGTCATTTCTCTTCCTGCAGAACCAGAGTAAGTACTGGAGGGCTGATTTTCTTGTTAGCCAAGGAATATACAGAGTCAACAAGCACTTAGATATAAATGACAAACTAGCTTATGTCCCTAAGTATCATGGCATTTATATGTATTGTCTTACATGTCATTTATGCATATTCTGTCTAGAACCTTCTAGAGACAGAATATAGTTAATTTTTGTGAATCTTCTAGGCCTTGGATTCCAATGACATCGGAATTAATGAATGATCAGAATGTTCCCCTATGTATTATAGAAAGTGTGTGAGAGACTTTCTTACAAAAGTTTTGTTTCCTAACACCTTTTTAGCAGTCCTGGTTGGGTAAAGCATGGAAATCGGTAATTCTGAGTTATCCTTTCCGAGTTGCTTTCCCTGAACTATGTTCAAATTACTAACGCTTACTAAGGATTAGTGAGTAGTCAAATCACCAACCCTTGCAAATCAAAAGGCATCAAGGAAATCTGAATACCTGTGGAATGCCTGCCCAGCTTTAGCATGCGCAGAGCCCTGAGCAGCCTCAGAACCTGGACGATGCGGCCCACGTTCTCCAGCTCTTGTGTGGTCTGGCTGCCGCTCAGGCTTTCTACCAGCAAGGTGATGTAGAAGGGCAAGATGGCAAGCAGGTCTATGATGTTCGGCACCTTTCTTAGGAAGCGGCACCTGTCCCGCACACATAGGAATCGCACGACAAACTCCCCGGTGAACCAGCTAATGCACACGTACTCCAGGATTTCTAGCAGCTGCAGGTTCAGCCAGCTTAGCTCTGCTGACATCAGGGCCATGTTGACAATGGACACGGCCACGAAGATGATGGAGATGACCCCAAAGATTCGGGCAGCTGTGGAAGACCCAGGCTTCTCCAGGATATTCCAGAGCTTCTGGCGGACTGTGGGACAAGGTCCCTGTGAGAAGTCCTGCTCACTGTCATGCTGACTCTCCTGGTCATCCGTGTCCTTCTTAAAGTCTAGAGTTTCGCTCAGCTCTTTTCTTCTGAAGTATCTTTTGGAAAAGACAATTTGGTGATCAGTCTAACTTTTTAAAATACAGAAACGGAAGAGAATTAAACTTGACAGGCAAGTCACGCTTTTTATTTCAGGAAAAGATAGAAAATATCTGTTTATATTTTACCCAGGTCATGTCTTTCCCCTGTATTCACAAATTCTCACCCAGAATCATGATTTTTAAAGTGACATTTTCTTAACGGAAATGTACAGAAAAGGATATCTGAGTAACAAAGCGACTTTGGCCAAATGCATTTTATTATCCATTTTCTGGTAACAGGGACAGCTGTCTGCCATATGGAACTTTTTGATTACAAAGGAAAGTAGTCACGAAGAAATGGGAATATTGGCAAGATAACAGCGAAGCTATCATTCAAGCCCCACAATCATTCAATCAAGAAATCAACTTTCTTCTGCATTTAAAATAGTTCTCTATATAAGTTTTTCCAAGTTAGTGTTCCAGGCTTAATAAATAATACTGCATATCAAAATCTTCATCCCTGTACGTATACAAATATCTTTTGAAGCACAACTTCTCTGATTTATTTATTCGGTCACCAAATATTTATTGCAAGTTGAATCCCTTTTTCTCTCACATAAAAGTGACATAATTCACTTGCACAAAAGGGACAAAAAGATTTGCAGAGTGTCATCCTGAAGTTGGCTTTGAGGCTTTCTGGTCCGGCGCTCCGACCCCCCCCCCCCCCCGCGCAGTCCTGGGTCCCAGCCCCGACCCAGGCCTCTCCTCCGGCCCCCGCCGCCTCCCACCCAGCGCGCACGCTCGCGGATACCTGTCCCTGCAGCAGGAGTCGATGCTGAGCTCGTCGAGGCCCCAGTACTGGATCTCCTGGAGGAAGGACAGCGCGCAGAGCTGCTCCATGACGTGCAGGCGGCCGGTGCGGTAGTAGTGCAGGACGTAGCGGAACGCCTGCGAGCTGCGGTCGAAGAAGTACTCGTTGTCCACGGGGTTGGCGTCGTCGCAGAGCTCCAGAGGGCTGGGCGCGGCGGCCAGGGCTCCCAGGCGGCGGTACGAGGCCACCACCACGGCCAGCTTGCCCAGGCGCGTGTGCGGGAAGCAGGACAGCGCCTGCTGCGAGAACACGAAGCGGCTGCCGCCCACGTTGACCGTGAAGCAGTCCCCGAGGGCCAGGGGCTCCCCTTCGCCCTCGCTGCAGAAAACGCTGGAGTCCAGAGAGGTCAGCGAGCCGCTGGACAGCGGGGAGCCCAGCAGCGGCCGGCTGGGAGGTAGCTCCATCCCGATCGCCGAGGCCTGGGGGCGCGACAAAGTTGGGGACGCGCAGGCAGCCCGGGTCCCGGAGCGCGGCGGCGCGGCGCCCGGTGGCGGCCGGGAGTCCCCGGCTTCCGAGGGAGGGGCCTCCCCCTCGCGCACCCCGCTTCTCTCCCGGTCTCCACCCCCCGGCTCGTGCGCCTCGGCGTCGCCCGAGAGCTGAGGGCGCGCGGGAGCGGCGCCAGTGGGGAGCGAGGGGACTGCGAGCGGGGGCGGAAGCAGGACGGCCCCGGGCCACCTGCGGGGCGCGAGGTCCCCGCCCAACGTGCGCACCCGGCCCTCAGCTTTGTAACTGCGACCCCGGCCCGGGAAGCGCGGGGTTCGAGAGCCCGGCGGGCGGGTGGGTGGAGGGGCTGGGAGGGAGCGGAGAGGAAGCTGGGGAGGGCGAAGGCAAGGAGAGGAGCGGGCGGGCGGCGGGGCTCACTCCTGCCGCCAGGGACCCAGATCCAAAGTTCCGGACGCAGTGGCGCCGGGACTAGGTCCGAGTCCTAACTTGAGTCCCGGGTGTCCGCTGGGGTGCGCACTCGTGGGGAGTCGCGGTTGCTCCCGTTTCCCTCTCATTCCAGTCCGACCGTCTCCCACGCGGTCCGCACACCCCCCGCCCCCAGGCGCTGACCTCTCCTGGAGAAATCAGGCCGGGGACCGCGGACCGCTAACTCCGCCCCACGGAGCCCCTCGGAACTCGGGGTCACCGCTCTCGCCCCCACGCCCCTGGGTGCCCTCGCCCGTGGAGACGCCCCGCGCCCATCCCAAGTTTCCCGGGCGCAGGTGTCCCGGCGCGCTCTCCAGCCCTCGGCGGAGCTCTCGTTTCAGGAAAAGGGGCGATCAAAGAAAAAGATTAGAACAGGCTTGGGCTGGACCCGGAGTTTAAATAACAGCGACCTCTCCCTAAAGAGAGCGCCTGAGGGAGAACTGGGCCCCAGTGAGACGAGAAGCTGCCGCGGGGCCTCCTGGACCTGCCCCGGCCAGGCCAACCTGTTGGACGCCGGTCAGGTGGGGAGGGAGGGGCACGTGACTCACCTGCAGCTCCCGGCACACCTGGCTGCCTTCAGCTCGGTACTTGGCGGTGGAGCCTTCCTTCGATTCTCCTGGTCCACGTGAGGTCTGGTTTCACCAGTCCAGAGAGAAGCTGCTCACAGCTGAGCTCTCCTGCACTCGCTTCCTCGCTGCTGCGCCTCCACCGCCTCCAGCCTCCCGGCCTCCGGGCTCTGCTGAGCTCCCGCCCCCGCCCAGCGCTGGGAGCCACCGCCGGGAAGTTCCCGCTCCAGCTGAGAAGGTGTAAGGAGCAGAGGGAGGGAAGTGAGACCGAGGGAGGACGCAGGGCGCTCGGTGACACTGAATATTATATTCACCCTAAAGACGCTTAAAGAGCGATCTTATCTCTTTCCCTTCTCAATGTGTGTCCACACAAATGCTCAGAAATTTGCGAAGTAAGTGCAGTAACTTGGGCTGACAGCAGGTGTACTAACTGCTTTGTGTGGCATAGTTCAAGGTTTTCTCATTATTTCCAGCAAACATCTAAGAATCCTGCCAGAGAAAATGAACCATAGGCATCTTTGTCTTCCACAAAGTGCTTCTAAGAAGGTATGCAGTGTGAAGAGCAGGCAGCTTGATGCATTGGAAGGTCTTTATTATAGATTAGGCAGAAAAGTGGTTGTTTGGCTTTGGTTTTGCCAACTGGCTGTGGGATCTCGGATGGCCACTGATTTCATGGCTCTCAGTTCTCAGCAAAATTTCCAGTTTCAGTGCAAACACTTGGCATTTATTGAGTGCTAACTTTACACCAGGAAACTGACAGGTTCTTTACTCATGAAGTACTATATTTAACAATACTATGAGGTAGCAAAGCACCTCTCTTACAGAAGGGGAAACCAAGTCACAGAAATCAGATTCACATGATACAAATTCAAAGCCAGGACCAAATGCCAGAGGCTGCTTTCATAAGCAAAATGCTTGAAAGTTAATATCTTTAATTAAATTAAAGTGGGATTGAATTTTTTTCTTTTGCACTTTTCTAAAAAAGAATGATATAGTTTAATGAGGTATGTTCCTGGAGGTACTGGACAGTAGTATTCTAAGTGTTGAACATACATCAGTAAAGAAAACAGAGAATTTCCCTGTCCTTGTGACGCTTGCAGTTATCCTGTGAGGAAAAAAAGGATAATTTCATTGCCTTTTTTTGCAGCTGTAATTGTATTGGTTAGCTTTCCATTGCTGTAAAAATAATTGTCACTCATAATTTAAAAGAGAAGAAACACTTTATTGGCTCATGACTTCAGAGGTTTCAGTCCATGGTAGGCTGATTCCAAGGCAGGAACATCATGATGGAAGGGCTGCCAAAGAGCACCAGAGAGGAAGGGCCCAGGGACTAGATATTGTCCTGGAGGTCTCATCCCCGTGACCCATCAGAAACACCCACAAGTGGACTTTATTCATCCCCTCGGCTGTCTAATGAACCATCACAATAACATTTCTAGGTTGTGGTTCTACTGATAGCTGTCCAGTCCATTAACTCTCACCTCTGCAAAGAACTCTTTCGTATGGAAACTATGGAGAGGCTGAAATTACCTCAGTAAATAGTTTATATTATATTTAGGTACTTTTTTTCAAGTTAACAAAGCTTTCCTTTACACTAACTGAAACACTCCAATATCTTAATTACAGATAATTCAGGTAGTGAAAAAGACAAAAGTTCATAGTTCTGTTAAGCCTTATTTGTATCATGATTAGTGATAAAAGTCTACACTAGCTTTGTAGATAATGATCAGGAAGAAGGAAAACCTTTGTTTATTATTTTTTGTTTATCAATACACAATTGCAGTACATAATGTTAGTATTCCCTGCAGGGTATGTAGTTGGTACATGTACATAATGCTTCTTAATCCACTCGTCCCATTTCCCTTCCCTCCCTCTTACTTCCCTTCATCTCTTCTTCCCTTTTCCACTTGAGCAAGATCTATCTCCCTACCTCTTATGGTCTTCTATTTTGCTCTTTACTTATATTTTGGGTTTCTCATATAAGAGAATCCATGTGATGTTTAAGCTTGTGTGTCTGATTTATTTCACTTAACATTGTGGTCTCAGTGCATCCATTTTCCTACAAATGAGTCAAGTTTATCTTTCTTTGTGGCAGAGTAGTACTTCATTTTGTGTAAATACCACAGTTTCTTTATGCATTCATCTGTTGGTGGCCAAATAGGCTGCTTCCATGATTTAGTTATTATGAATTGTGCTGTTGTAAACATGGGTATGCACGCACCACTGTAATATGATGTCTTTAACTCTCTTCATAAGAAGGGGAATAGCTGTAAAAATGGAGCTTCTTGTTTTAGTTTTTTGAAGAATCAGGAGAAAGACTTCAGGTAAGGAGAGAGATCTTAGCCAAGCAGAGGTGAGTGAAGCTGACTGAGACTTATAGGTTTCCCCCTCTGTCACCAGATCCTGGGCCTTGGCCCCACTGAGTAGTGTTCTAAAGAGGTAACTATGATAATAGGGTATCAGCACAGGGTGTGAGGCCCTATGCTAAGCATCTGCAGCCTACAATGATTCTGAAGTGAGCATTTTCATCCTCAGTTACAGATGTCAATTCAGATTTTCACAATCACTGTTTGCTTTCCAGTGTCCATAGAGAGTTTGTGAAATGGTGTGTAATGTAACTGAACTATGATCTTTCTAACTCCAGATTCTACTTCAACTGTTAAGAGTCAACATTCTTCAATTGGGCTTCAAATGGGTTACAACAATTTATGCTAATGAAGGCAGTCATAACAAGAGAGCTGACTGCTAGTCACCTGGGTGCACATACACATAGAATACATATTTTAAATATAGTTTTCAGTAATAAAAATCTCTGCCCTGTCCCATTCCCTTAAATCTATTGGCTCTTCTCCCTCCTTGATTGCCTAGCTTTGTGTCAAAGAGGATGCTATGGCTTGTGTTTAGCTCTACCCCGAAAGCCTGGGGCTTTCTCAGAGGTAGCTGAATTTAAGAGTGGTGATCCATTCATGGTGGGGCTAGGCCCTAGGGCACTAGGATTAAGGGGGTGAGTGCTACCCACTCTAAGTAGTCTGAATAAGATAAAAGGGGCAGAAAGATGACAAGATGGGAAAGATGCCACTCAAATGATACCTTTCCTGGGCCTTGATTCTGAGCTGAGAGATACCAGACAGGGACAGGGTAGTTACTGATGGGTAGGTAGTTGGCAGTGGGGAGATTTTGCTTTCCATTTCTTTCCAACATGGTGTGAGAGAGGTTGTGCAGTGCTGCTGTGTGAAAATGAACAATCTAATGGCTTTAAGTATATTTCCTAGTCATCAAATGTTATATTCTGGTGATTTTCCATTCCAAAATATTCTACTAATTTTTTTACTTCATTTGTCAAGTCTACCCAATATCAATTTAAATATTGACTCTTCACCTTCAACTAGTTTTTCACGTTTTATAAGTACTTTTAAATTTATTAATGAACAATGTGTGTTTTTGAAAGTCATGTCTTAAAATTGGATCAAAAGAAAATTATGATGTGCTTTAAATGTCTGACTTCATGGATGACGATTATGAAGATAAAAGTAAAATCGTTTGAAGAACTCCAGAAAATTTTGTCATTAAAAATATGGAATTTTTTTTCTCATTTTTGAAGAAATAGAATATTTATATTAATATAGCTTCTTTATCTGGATTTGATAAAATATTACATATTTCTGTAAAATCATCTTTTATACCAATTGTTTTAAAATCTTAATACAGATCTGATTTTAAGTTATTAAGATTGTCTTTAGAAAAATATATAATCACTGTTAATTTATATCCAAAATTCTACAGTTTTACATTTAATTTTGGCAGAGTGGAGAGATACAATGAGCGAATAGTCATGAATAAAGAGCTTCATACAATTCAACTTGGATAGACTACATTTTTTTCCTTTTCAATCCCCTTTCTATCCTCATACATTTATATTAAATCTTTTTACTTTTTTTCATTCATGAGCAATACACACTGTATTCAGGTGAGGGTGAGGTATGCGTATCTTTCATCCTCTTTGTTTTCCCAGGGACTACAACTGGGAAAGTCAATTACAGGGATGTTTAAGGTGCTTTTGTGTAGAGACAAAATGGCTTTATCATCTTTGTCTTCATTGCAAGGGGATATGTTTAGAGAAAAAAGAAATCTGATGAATTCTATCTATTCATCTTTCATGTGCCTTCTAGGTGCTTGGAATAAATCCTCCCAACTGCATGACAGCCCACTCTAATGCAGAATTTAGCTGAATGTGGGCTTGTTCTGGATTCCTTCCAAGAGGAGACAATTATCTTTGGAAGTACCCAAGAGCTCATTTTTATAGCCTAGTCTGCTACAGAGATAGCATGCATTGATGATGGAGATGATAAGGTTAATAATATGACAATAACAGTTGCTATCTTTACGTATTCAATCCCTGTTCTGCCCTTTCCTGGCTGTGAGACATTAACAAGATTCATAATACTTATTTTTCCTATCTGTAAAATAGGAATAACAATGGTATTTTATGCTGTTGTTTTAAAATTAAATGAGATAATCCATATAAAATGTGCAGTGCAGTGCCATTGTTCTTGTTGCCACATTTTTATTATTTTGGTTTAGAAATGTTTTCTGACTTCTCTCTTCTGCATCTTACCTGGTACTTACTATGTGATAACTTCATAAGCATCTCATGTTAATTATATTTCCATACCTTGCAAAAAGGTAATATTAGTATTATACATTTGTAGATGAGAATGTGCAAATCACTTCACACATGCCACTCAGATAGCACTTGAGCATATTTGTTTGATCCAAAGCCTATATTCTCTGAAGGACATTAATATAAAAATAGCACAATAATGAGTAATCACTATTAGAGATGTTCTTTTTAAAATTAACTTTATTGGTACATTTTAGGTATATAATATGCTGGCATTCGTTATTGAGAATTTGTACCTTTACAAAATATATCTTGGTTCTTATTTTTTCCCCCATTCCCCTGGCCTCCCTTCAACCCCTCCATCCCTCCCAATTTAGGAAGACTTTGTTTCCATTTTTTCCTTTTCTCATATTTATTCCTTTCACGGGGAAGTGGGAGGGGTAGGGAAAAAGAAAAAGGGATGTTCTTCTCTTTACACATAACTTTAGAGAGAGAAAAGTTTTATTCTGTTCTCTAAATAATTAAGAAATAACTATACTTTAAGGATCACCACCAATACCAATATATTGCCTATGATCTCTTTCTTTTTCTTTCTTTCCTTCTTTCCTTTTCTTTCTTTCTTTCTTTCTTTCTTTCTTTCTTTCTTTCTTTCTTTCTTTCTTTCTTTCTTTCTTTCTCCTTCCTTCCTTCCTCCTTTGTTTTTCTTTTCTTTTTCCTCCCTTCCCCTTTCCTCTCTCCCTTCATCTCCCCTTTTTGAGAGCGGATCTCATTAAATTGCCTAGGTTGGTCTTGGGGGCAGCCCTCTTGCTTCAGCCTTCCAAGAAGCTGCAATTTTAGCTGTGGGCCACTGCACTGATTTTTCTTCTAATCACCATAAAGCTGGTAACTGCTGAATCATTATTTGATTTTCATTATGCCACAACGATGTTCAAAGGACAAAAGTCACATTTTTTACCTGAATTATCAAGAAAGTTTCTAGAATCAGGCACTGGATTAACTCCTATAATTACATTGAAATTAAGCTTTTGTAAACAATATTTGAGGGAATGGAGCAAAGGCAGGGCATGTGCTCTGCTCATCCGGTTCTGAGAGCTGTTAAGTGAACCCAACATTGAATTTGAAAATTCCGATTAAATTCTTTTTACCCAGGCTTATCAAATTTCTTTATATTGATTGAGAGGTTAAGTCATACAGAACTATTAAAGCCTGTCTGTTTCATTGAATGTATGAGATTTATTAACATTAGAAGAAACATTGCCTTTGGATTTATCTTTCTAAGAGTGCTTTCTTTCATTATCAGGACCCTCAGTAAACTTGAATTTCATGCTGCAACTGAAAGAAAGGTAATCTTTGCACCCTGTTCATGTCATGAAGTTTTAAATGTTCTTCCTTGGGTTTTCTGCAATGAAATAAAAATCAAAAGTTTATCAGTCAGTAAATACTTGTCGGAATATACTTTTATAAGCTTTAGGGGATGGTCATAAGTATGTGCAAATAGAATGTATATCATAATTTTAATATATATATATGTGTACATCATATATATCATACATATGAATATATAGGGATACACTACACACACAAGAAAAATAAAAAATACTGTAGAGTTTGCAATGAGTACTAAGTCAGGGGATCACATTGGCATTATATTGCAAGAAATGTAGTGAGCAATCAGAGGCAAATAAGAAAAAGATAAATGAGGAGAAAGGCAATTTTTTTCTACAAAATGGTTCTCACTTGTGTAGTATAATTTCTTTAAATAGTTTTGTCGTGGCATTTAAAACACAATCTAATTACAGAAATACATGAAGTACATTTTTAGGACACATATGCTGAGATCTGTGCCCAAATCTTGTTAACTGGATTGTGAAGCTGTACGGAACACATCATTCTAACATATCAAAATTATTCTAATGTCAGATAAGGCACATAGAAAAACATGAATTTAAATAAATATTTTATATATTAAACCCATTGCACGCAAACGGGATAACCCCAATCACATTTCAGCACCTGAGCTGATGCTCTTTTTACACATAGCTCTGTGCTTTAGTTGTTTAGAAGTTTTTCCACTGGTGCAAAAGACAGAAATATGGATTTGGAATCAGTGTACACCAATCTTGTCGATTCGAAAAAAGAGCCTGAGATCAGTTCTTGAATTACAGAATGTATTTCCCCTACACAGTAGAGAATTAGACTGGAGATAACTGCATACCCACACTTGTCATTCTTCCAATGTGAAGAGCAGCAGTGAGCCATCTGGCTTCTCCCCTACACTGCTGCCTCTGATTGACATCTCAGCTTTAGACCGGCCTCACAGTTCTCCCACAAACAGATTTCCCGGAAATCTAAACCAAATGGGAATCCAGAGGGCTGTCAGAGCTTAACAAATGTGTCCTAGGTCTGCTTTTTTTTTTTTTAAATTATTTCTATATTGTCTAATTTATCCATTTTAGAAACTGGGAATATTTTATTTTCATAGTGGCAGAAAGAAGTATCTGGTTTCATGCATTTTCAATTTTTAAAAAATGGAAACAAGTCTCAATTAAATAGTGACCAGAGATGAAATAAATAGAATTCTGGAGATGAATTTAGGAGGTCTTTAGCTTTGCAACAGGTTCAATATTTAGGGTGACTCTGGGTCCCAAATGTCTTAATTTTGATAAAAGAAGCTTAAAATGAATCAAGAATAGGGGAATTACGACTAAACAAATGGAAGCAAATCTTTTATGGGTGAATGTATTTTTGTGTGTATATGGAGCTAGTATTTTAATTTGAGTTTTTACAAAATCCATAAATATACTAAAATTATGTTTCTTCATTTTATATCATTTCATAAATAGAAAAATGTCAAAAATTCACATCATACATTAAAAAGAAAATTTATTGCATGGGTGTGGTATCGCGTGATTGTAATCTCAGCACTCAGGAGGCCTAGGCAGAGAGGGTTATGAGTTTAAGGCCCTGAGCTTTACAGTGAGACGTTGTGCAAAAAATAAAAAAGGAAAAAGAAAAGAAAAACAACCCATGTTTGAAAATGATTAACTTTTAAATGCTTCTCTTTTATTTTGGTAATAACATGTTAATAGCTGGCAGTGTAGTCTTTAGTAGAATGCGGCTTGAATAACTAATGACAAGTGAAAGGCAAGTGTGGGTGGTCTTGAACACAAGACCTTGGGTTAGACTGCAGTGACAGACCATGGATCTCTGTCACGTGATTAGCGGGTGAACACTGCTTGTGGTGGAGCTGAGTTTCCTTGTGAAAGGAGAATCTACTTTCTCCTCCTACTTCAATCAGAATTTCACCCTGGGGTCCTAAGAGTCCCAAAGTAAGTGCGCCCACCTCCTTCTAGTGAACTGATGGAGACCACTTGAGTATATAATGAACACCCCATAAGGGTGCACTGGTCTATCTTACTCTTGAAATGATTTCTAAAAAATTACGATCTTGTTATATCGTGAATTGCTCCCAGTGGTTGTTCCTTAGTTGTACAGACTATGAAAGGTGACACATCTCATTAAAGACTAAAAAAAAAGTCAGTTTAATTAATATTATCACTAATCGAAAAAGCTTTTAAGCCCTGGCAGTTTCTGAAAGATTTTATGGTAGAAATAAATACATTTTCCAAAATTTAAAGTTTCACTTATAAGTTCAAATTTTATCAGCAACAGATATTGTCTAGCTCTCCTCACGGTGGCAGCCCCATCCATCAACCCCCACCGGGGATGAACCAGGGAGTGCTGAGCTACAAACTCAGCCTTTTAAAAAGTAATTATTTGGAGACATACCATTCATTCATTTTAAGGAAATTATTCATAAATCTCTGACTATAGCTTGTTAATCAGTCATTGTTTTTCAAGTAAAAATAGTCATTCTTGGGGAGTGGAGATGTCATTTTGTAACTCGGTCACACAAATGCTTTTCCTCCAGTAACCGTGGACTTGGGGCAGGCTGTATTATTTCTATTTAGTAAAATAAAAAAAAAATAGACAGGTACTTAGTCATAGTACTTAATAAAATTAATAATATTTTAATTAAGCAAATAATATTTTATCATTCTTTATGGGGCTTGTTAGGTGAATCTTTTTCCCTGGAAAGTATGTGAAGAGAAAAGTCACTAGCATAGTTTGGTGCCGCTGCTTTGAGAGGCCTGAAAATTCAAAAATTCAGTTTTACCCATCATTACCTTGCCCCATCAGTACAAAAGGAAAACAGGAGTAGTGCCCCAGAATAGTGAAAAAAACCTTTGGAAATATCAAAAGCCCTTCAAAGGGTCTCATTAAGCCTCAGGACTCTATAGAGCACACTTTGAAAACTATTGTGTTAAGGGATATAAGCAGTTGTACCAGTTAAGTACAGGATTTAGGTATATATTTTTCAGGAATTAAAGACAGAAGTATACAATTTTAATGCTTTGTTTTGTAAGATTTCATACAAACATTTCCTGAACCTTATATAAAGATACACATAGAAATATGCATGCATGAATGTACACATATTTTAGATATGCAGAGAAAATAGAATAAATTTTAGGTCCAATTGATTAGTTATTTCTTATAAATTCTTTCATAATAGGTATAAGGTAAACTTTTCTCTTTAGTATAAACCGGTAACCTTAATCTACTGTACCGTTTCAAATATTCTTTTTAGGTAGTGCATACTCTTTTGTGGTAAAAATGCTCAGTCTTTCAGATATTTTGCCTTTCTTTATGCCTTTCTCCATCTGCCCAGGAAGTTGAGGTCCTGCTCTCGGGTCTGCATGGGATGGACTGGATCACTGGTTACTAGCAGGGCTTCTTGGACTGGTGACTCCTAGGGTATTCATGGAGGAGAAAATTTGGAGGCCATGGTTGGACCATTTCCCTTTCCTTTTGGCCTCAGGTTATAATTGGTTCATCAGGTTTCCCCAGGTTTTCATCTCTGTATCTTCTCCCTGTGTCAGCGGCCACTTCCAGTTTATCTGTGATCTTCCATTGTGACTGCCACGTAATTACACCTGCTAGGTGTTGGAAGTGGCTGGACACAGAAAACCTGCTAGAGCCTGTAGCTTTTCGCTAACACTAATGCCAGTGTTAACACACATGTTACTGAGCTACCTGTACCTCCAAATGACCTTTGTTGAACAGCTGGTGTTCATCATCCATGTATATTTATTTATAGACGATGTGGGAACCCTGAAAATCAATTTGATTTTCCTATCTCTCCTCTATCTCCCTACTTTTTTATTCATAACTATTCATGTGTTTTTCCCCTCTACCTCTAAATCAGGGTTTCTCAATCAGTGTTAATATTGCCTCCTTAAAGAGGCATTTGGAAATACAGTCCTGGTGGGGATTTGGGGCGGAGGGATGGATACTTTTAGCTGTCATAATGACTGGAGAATTTTATTGACCATTACTACTCCAGGACTAGAGATGATAAATATCCTTTACTGTATGAGCAATAAAGAACTTCCATTCTCCAAATGCTGTCTCATGCAGAGCACTGCTTTATGTCACAAATTCCTCAGACTCTCAGGAAGAAAGCCTTCCAGCTTAGCCATGGTCTTTATAACCAAGGCGACACTAATTATCCAAGCCTTCCCACAATGCTCCAGATGGATGCCTTAGTCTGACTGAAAAAAAGTCAGGGAGCAGGCAGAAAAATGAAAATTATTATAATCACTTTTAAAATGTTTCTACATTTTCAAATTTGTGATTTTTTTATTTTACCATTCCCAGGAACGCCACATTAAGCACAGAAGTAACATATTATCCATATTATATAATATAAAATGTTATATAGAACATATTATATATATGAATGTATATTTAAAAACTACCGTTAGATAACAGTTTTATTTTTGAGTTCTGTCAGCACACTCTTATTGGTACATGTTTGCAGTACATAATGATTGCGTTCACTGTGAAGAGTCAGTACGTGTGCTTAACACGTAGGAATTCTTTTTGGGTTTTATTGTGGTAATTGTAGAGAAGGTGCCAACCTGGCTTCACTGAGTGGAGAACCTTTTTGGAACTCCGCACACATTACAGAGATAGCCTACCATGTATTCCCATAGTGAACTCTCAGGGTTTCTGGAAGACTATAAATAGGTGAAATTATTATCATCTTTGATCCCTTCGGTCAGCCTTCTCTCTAAGATAGAATAGTCTGAACAATTTCTTTGAGGGTCGGCAGCTGTAAGTACACAAGTGCTCTAAGTACTTTGAGTACAAGAATCATTGTTTTCAGAATGTCTTTGAGGTCCTTATCTGTCCACTTCCCTATGTTTTATCAACTTGGCTTTTCTTTTATTAAATTTATTAATTGAATCCACATGAGAGGAATTATTTTGCATATAAAAATGACTAAATGAGTCCAAATCATTAATCAAATGTCCCTTAGTCTTTTGTGATACTATTTATTAAGAATATTCCAAACTTTACTCCTGATTTAATAAATATATATTATATTTGTACTAGTCATAAAATTCTTTAAACATTATTATTAAACTTTGAATTTTGGAATCAGAGTTCTGTATAATTTATATAATACTGATTATCTGAGACACTACAATAGTAATAGAATTAAGATTAAATATTTTTCCTTGGAATATGACATATTTACAAAAGTCTCTTTTCACTATAACTAGTCTACATTTGCTTAATTTATCATGTTTTTCCTCATAAATGCATCATTAATGGGCACTTGTTATGTACAATGAAAATAGCACATTTGATTTTTGTAGAAAAGTATTGCAAGATGAATATTTCCTGAACTGTGAATTAACATGGCACGATTCAGAATTGGTAGAAGCTTTGGAGATGTTTTAATTGCAGAAAGTGACAATGATATGTGAGTTATCACACAAGTTAGAGAACCCAAAACAATACCCAGGACCTGGCGCGCTGACTAGACATGTTCTCTGTCTTGTGGCCTGTCTGAGGTGAATTAGCTCTGTCGCTGAAACCAATACCACGAGAGAATCTCTGGGCATCTTTTAGAATTTTTATACTTAATTGATCTCTTTATGCTTCTGTTGTAAAATGTCATATTGGAAATCAAAATAACCTTTACCAGAGCTTGACTTATGTTTGAAGTTTGTCTCGTGGTAATTTTTTAATCTTTTCAGTTTTCACAGTTTTTGTTACTATTGTTTATTCTCTTTCACCTTTAGTAGATTTAAAGAGTTTAAAAAGATAGTGCCTCTTGTGGCTCAGAGATATTGGTAATCGTGTAGATATACCTTGAAAATGTAACATACGGTGAAAAGTTTTCCTTAGCAATGCAGAACTGAAAATGACACATTTCACTTGTTATTTTTCAGTCATTTGTATTGAGGGACAGGTTAAACGTTGAAGCAAGAAATTGGAAAAAACAAAAATCTTTAGAAACAGCCCGAGAGGCAAGGATTACCTAGCAAAGTTTTTGTGTACTCACTGGGAAGCAACACTGAAGCTAAATGTAGCTCCAATGGTTCAAAGATGGTCTGAGATCAGGTGGCGTGATTAGGTTGCTAAGAAACAGCGTTTGCAGATTGTTCCGCTGAGTATCCATAGATGAAACAGATGTAGTAGGAGTGTTTCCATAAAACAGGCAAAAAGGACAAGATAAAAAATGAGGAGTGTAAATCAGGGCATCCATTTTTTTTTTTTTTTTTGGTGGTGAAAGTTTGATAGGTCCACAAGGATTGGAATATCGGAGAATTAAGTGAGATAGTATGTGGAACGTTTAAAAAGCCGTAAGATTTTATTATTATTTTTATTGCCTGGACATAAAATATAAAAGTGTTACTAATATTTAGTGATGGCCAATATTTACCAATAAATAATCAGTAAATGATAATTTACTAATATTTACTTGTTTGAAAAAATAAAAGAAGTAGCAGATTCCCAGTAATCATTTCTCTCTGGGGTTATCATCCACACAAATGGCAGCCGTTTTCTTCTTGATTCTTAGTCACAAAAATTGATTCTTAGACACAAAAAGAACCAGTTGGTCTCTGATTACTCAGCATCGGACACACTCAACCGCTGTGTCTTCCAAGCAGCCAGTGAATTTTATTTATTGTGCACAGCCTCGGCATTTGTTCTCTTTCTTTGGCTTTTACTGCTCTGCTTCAGTTCACCATCGATCTCAGATATCTGTGTATCCTTACTGCTCCCATTCTTCTCACAGTTTTAACCCAGTGGGATCTGAAGGTACTTTAGAGAAGCCTACTTTCCAATTTTAGAATTCTATCATTTTCTTGTTGATGAGGGGTATTATCGCCATAGACAGTCCTCCCTACTTGCTTTTGGTAGTCAAAGGTGTGAGGTGGAGGTAGTACTGGATGAGCTATTTCCATGGACATTTCCCAAATCTTCTGGAATTCTCAGGCTATTAAGAAATGTTTTATAAAAGGTACATTTTTAATTGAATATATTTGAACTAAATAAAATGAAAGAGCTTTGTTTTTGCCTCAAACTATTTTAAATCCATTCACTCCAACACTTCCTCACCATTATTCTAGTTTGGGATATCAACTCTTGGTATCTACTGAGAGTGTCTTTTTTTGTTTTTTTTCCATTACTGTTTTTTACCAAGTTTCTATAGATTCCATTATAACATTTAAAAAATTTAAATCATGGAACACTTATTTCTATTTAAAAGCTTTAAAATCCCCTTTCATTGCAGATAGAATCAAAGTAAATTGTTTTCCAAGCCCCTCAAGACTTCTGCCCTTTTCACTGATCTCTCCCACCATGCATTTGTGACCACACAAACGGTGCATCTTTATCTTATGTAACTTACCTCCTACATCATATGTAACGTCAGTCAGTTACAAGGTGTGGATGGAACGGGTGTTTTTAATACTTAATATCTACTTATCTCTCTCTAGCACAACCATGTGAGATCCAGGAAGACAGCGGTCTTCCCTTTATTGTACCCTACTGTGTTGTCAGATCCTATCACACAATTGGCACTCAATAAATGTTTGCTAACTGTGCACAATTGTTTATTGAAACTGAGTATGTTAGTGTGAAATATAGTAGTTCTCAAGCAGAGGTTTAGAAATTATCTCTATGTGTGTGTGTATCATAAACAAGATATTTAGAAATATATATAATATGTTTATATATTAAATTCACATACATTTATAAGTACAATCTGTTTATTTATGTTTATAGACATTTACAACTCATGCCAGAGCCAAAGCCAATACCTTCTCCTAAATGGACCAATTGTGGGACATATTGATGGTTCTCTCCTAGAACACTGAAAAGATATGCCACCTTTTCCTTTCCTACTGATACTTTTCTTCTGGTTTAGGAAATCTCTTGGAGCCTTTAAAATTAGATGTAGGTTTTGTGTTATATCAATAATAATGAGTATATGGTCAAGCTCAAAGCTCTTGAATACCTATCAAGTAATTAAAAATACTGAAAAAAAATTTGTGGAAATTTGCCTAAAGTATTAGCTCATTATTGTCCTCTAAATTTTATATTTTGATTTAGCAATACAATCATCAAGATGTTCATTGGGATCATGCCAAATTGATACAGTGTAAAATATTTTTAAGAGTTATATTTTTGTGCATCTTTGATGGTCTATGTTAATGGACCTTATGAAAAATGCCTTACGCTCCTCATCTTTCACTTGCTAGAAGGATATTAAGGATAAGAGCCTTTCCATAACATAGGGTCCTCTCTCTGACTACCTCCTCCATAAAAATCATCTTTACTCTCAGTGAAATTATGTTCTTTAATGGATTTATTCTGACACATAGACTTTGGAGTATAGAGGACTTATTCACAGACATTTTGGAAACACTACGATTACACTTCATCAAGCACGTACCATGAGCTAGTTATCCTACAGAGTACTTTACATGAATCTTTCATTTTAATTCTCAGAATCCTGTGACAAAAGCATTGTTACTATTTCACAGATGAAGAAACTGAGAGAATAAAGGATGGTCATTTGAAGGCATACAACCCAAAAAATTTCAGAACCAAATTGTGATTGTAGCCTAACTTTAGTAGGTTTCTGTTCACTTAGATCTAGCTTATTTCCTAAACTTTATTTTTCTTCTGTCTTTTATTTATCTGTGTAAGCAATCTTTAAATCATTTTGATGAAATATGAAGAACAATAAAAAGATACCGAGCTCCCTTTCCTTATGAGTTCTATGTCATACCACAAAGCTCAATTAAATCTATATGTAGGAAACCAAGTGGAAATAATATAAAAATATCTCTTTATTAGAGTAAGTTTTTTAAATCAAATATCATTGTCTTCTATATGTGTGTTTCAATCTCAAATCTGTTGTAAAAAAGTAACTTCCATTTCTCTTAGATTATCTCTTACAACTACACCAATATGAACCTTAATTTATTATGTTAGTGAATAGTGTCTTAGAGTTAGTTTTCTAGATAGTGTCTTAGAGACATTTTATTCAGTCAATTATGAATGTTTGGTATTTCTGTAGACTTCAATGAAATTAATAATAACTCACAAGATACTCAAAGAAGTATTAAAGAGTAATTATCTTTTTAATTTATCTGGACAAAAAAGGCCTGCATCCAACATTGAATATTTTTTCTCAGTTTTTCAAGGTCACAGATTTTAATTATATGCAAACACATATGTAATCCATCCTTAAACAATTTTGGAATATGAAAATACTCATTACATGCATGAATAATTATGATTCAAATTATTCAAATTCTGCAAGAAAATCTCCCTAATTTATCAATAAGACATCTGCTGTTTACAAGCATTTGAAGGTCTATAAGGTATGTATAAAATTTCTACTCAAAATTCTTTTTTAAATTTCACTAAGTTTATTGGAACATTTTAAGTATACAATATAATGATGCTCATCATTGAGAATTTGTACCTTTGCATGATATGTCTTGGTTCTTATTGTTTTTTCCATTCCTCTCCCCTCCCTTCAACCCCTCCACCCTTCCCTATTTACAAAGATTTTGTTTCCATTTTTTTCCTTTTCTGGTATTTATTCCTTTCCCTTCTTTCCTTTCCCCTACACCTCCCACTTTCACTTTGGACCTTTTCTTCCTATTTCACATTATCTATTATACATTTTGATCCTTATTTACACTTTCAGTTTTTCACACCAGAGAAACTCTTTGGTATTTACACATGTGTGTCCTATTTATTTCACTTAAGAGTATGGCCTCAATGTGCATCCTTTTAGCTATAAATGTCTCTAATTTCTCATTTTTTATGGCTGAGTAGTACTCCATTTTATTTTTTAAAACCCCACATTTTCTTTATCCAGTCTCCAGTAGATTGGGCTAGTTCCAAGTTTTACCTATTACAAATTGTGCCACTATAAACACGGGCACACATATATCACTGTGGTATGATTCTTTTCATTCTTTTGGGAAGATACCCAGTAGGGGAATAGCTGGGTCAAATGGGACCATTAATCCTAATTTTTTGAAGTATCTCCATACTGATTTCCACAGTGGTTGCACCAGTCTACACTCCCACCAGCAGTGGGGAAGGGTTCTGTTTTCCCCACAACCCCGCCAGCATTTGTTATTGGTTGATTATTTGATAGCAGCCATTTTTTCTGGAGTGAGGTAGAATCTCATTATTGTTTTAATTTGGATCTCTCAAATGACCAGTGATATTGAACATTTTTTCATATGTTTATTTCCTGTTTCTATTTCTTTGTCTGAGAAATGTCTGTTCATTTCAGATGCCCATTTTTGGATTGGATCTTTAAATTTGGGAGGTTTGATTTTTTAAAATTCTTTATATGTTATATTCTACATAGTAGACCTTTATCTGAGGAACAGCTGGTAAAAATTTTTTCCCACATTGTGGGTTGTCTCTTCACTCTGTTCATGGTTTCTTTTGCTGTTCAGATGCTTTTTAATAAGATGAGATCCCAGTTGTTGATTCTTTGTGCTGATTCCCATACCACTAAGGTTTTGTTCATGAAATCTTTTCCTACACTAATATCTTCAAGAGTTCTACTTAACCTCTTTTCCAGCTGGTTTAGTGTTTCTGTTTCACTGTTTAGATTTTTGATGAATTTCAATTGTAGTTTAATGTATGGTGAGAGATATAGGTCTAGTTTTAATTCATAGCAGTGAATACTCACATTAGGAAAACAGAGCAAGCTGAATTACACAACTTAATGCTGAGCCTCAAGCTTCTAGAAAAAGAAGAGCAGGACAAACCCAAAGCTCATACAAGGGAGGAAATTATAACGATCAGAGAAGAAATCAATGCAATGGAGTCTAAGAGAATGATACAAAAAAATCAATGAAGCAAAGAGTTGGTTCTTTGCAAAAATAAACAAAATTGACAAATCCTTAGCCAAACTTATCAAACAAAAAAAAAAAGAGAGAGAAAGGAAAGAAAAGCCCCAAATCCATGCAACTAGGAATAAAAAGGGCGGAATTACAATGGATCCAGCAGAAATCCAGAGGATCATTGATAACTACTTCGAGAACCTATACACCAATAAGATGGAAAACACAGGAGGAATGGACAGATTCCTAGATATGTATGAATTACCAAAGTTGAATGAAGAAGACCTAAAAATTCTAAACAACTCAATAACAAGAAGATCGAAAATGTAATTAAAAACTTACCTACAAAGAAAAGCCCGGGTCCTGATGGCTTCACTTTTGAATTCTACAAGACATTTAGAGAACTATTGCCACCACTGTTCAAAATTCTTTTTTTTTTTTTTTGGTACTGAGGATTGAACTCAGGACCTTATGCTTGTGAGGCAGGCTTGGTGCCACTGAGCTAAATCCCTGGCCCTCAAAATTCTTATAAGCTATATATATATGAAATATTTCCCTTCAGTGATAATAGTGTCCAAAGATAGAGGTCATGTGAACCAACTTTTACTCTACTACTATGTCTTTCATAGATTACTGAATTAATTTCTCTAAAATGTCACTCCTTGTCAATTTCTAGTTCATTTCCCCTTAACAGCTAGAATAGCCTTTCTAAACGGTGGCATTACCTATGCTGTTTGTTCTTCTACTTAAACCCTTTAATGACTGCTTGTTCCTTTCAGAATAACTGTATTTTCCCAATTCCTCATCAAGACTCCCAAAGTGTCTTCAGAGTCCTCTCTCACGCATCTCTCACCTGTTTGCTGTAGCCCTACTCAACTGTGATCCCCATTTCTGAGAAAGAGTCTCTGTTCTCTTTTCCATCTAACCCTTCACATTACCTGGGTAGGACAACTTTCCCTTTTATTCTGACCTACCTGGCTTTTATGTATCATTTAGGTTTTAGCCTATGTATTTCCTCCACTCAATCATCCAAGATAAATGCTCCTCTTTTCTTATCCCATGGCTCCTCTGAGTTGGTCCCTCAGAGCTGCTGC